CCGATGAATGAAAAGGTGGAGGGCAATAGTGTGAACAAATATTAGTAATCAAAAGTTTATGTGTGTAAATGTGATGTTTACATATGTTGCATTGGTTGTGCCTACATTTGAATTATGTGTGTTTTAGTTTTGCTTGATTTGGTGTCTCTGTTAGTATTTAATATACTTGTTTTTATTAAATTGTTAATTGTATTAATGAATCTATATTAACTTTGTGAGTAAATCTAATTTGTTAGAATGCTTGAACCATTTAGATTATTAGAATTTTGTTTGAAATCTCGAACTTGTGCAAATGAACATTGAGAGAAGTATTGATGATGATAAAAGTTTCAAATTGATGTGAATTGGGTTAATTTAGGTTTGAAGGCCATAAATTGTTGTGCTTGCACTTTAAAAATAAAAAAAATGAAATCAGAAAAATTTGGGTTTGGTAACTAGGTGCCAGAATTTGGTGCCTAAGTGTCGGACAGATGCACAGCGAAGCACCTAAGCTCCAAAACCAGCACCTAGACGCTAAACTGACCGAACCAACTATGTAACGTCGAATGAACCGTAAGATGATGGATGATGATGTTATTAATGATGTTGATGAGGTGGATGATTATTTTAGTCTTTTGATGAATGTTGGACTCATGTATTGCACTTCTTATTTTACTGTATTACTATTTATTTTGCACTCCAGTTTACATAAATTTGCATGTGAGTTAGCGTAGTTTTTAATTACTATGCAATTTTCATGATATACATATTAATTTTGGATTTACTAATGCTTAACACATGTTTTTACTTCTTGTATATGTATTATTCTTATGATTAGAACCCTGTGATAGATACTTTCTCTTTTCATATTTGTTTAATTAAAAATTTTAAGTTTGGGGGAGGGAGAAAAACATTTTAAAACTAAAACTTTATTTATCCTCAATAAACTATATTTAGAAAATTATTTTAAAAATAACATATGGTATGTGGAGTTATCTTTAGAGAACTATATTTTTAATTATATGAATATTATAGTAAACTTAAGTAAATTTTTTAGTGATAAAAGATAGTTCTAGAGTTAAGACATTTGGTACAAAAGTATAGGAATATGCTTTTACTATTCAAAGTAGGAAAAATTATAGTTTTAAAACACTAAGGATCTTAAATATACACTTTTTAAGAGAATTAGACTCTATTAAAAATTATTTTTATACTAATACACATTATCATGTAAAGAAATGTGAGATGTTTTTAACTTTAAGAGGAGGATAGTGAAGTTCATAATCATTAAAAGTCATCCAAGTATAGTAATCCTCACATGAACAAAAAAGAAAATAAAAGTAAGGATTGAAAATGATCCTGAAAGAAAATAAAATAAAATAAAAAAGAAAAGAAAGTTAAAAAGAAAAATATAGGGGGAGAAGCTTGAGAAGATGTCTGAATCATCTAAAATGAAGAAACTTATTTACATTTCTAAGCATATTCTTAATTTCAAAAGTATTAGTCAAATGATTACTAAATAGAGTTCTCATATAATTCTATCTTTAAATTCTTCTAACCTTCCTAAGTGTGACAAATTACAATTATTTATGAAATGAATAGAAAATCAAAATTCTTAACTTTAGTACTAAATATTCTTATACCCCAGTTCTACCTTGAATTATTAAAATTTTTTTCTAAGAAAAAGCTTTACTATTACATTTATGAAGTTAAAGTATAAGAATATTTAATAAGACCCACTACCAAAAGTTAGAATACTTATTTTTTATAAAAATAATTTACTTGAGGGCAAGTAACGTTTAAGTTTGGGGGGATTTGATACACCTTAAAATATGTTAATTTTCTATATGTATTTTATGCTCATTTTTAATGATATTGCACTTTAATGGGAGTTGTTTTACATGTTTTTAGTTTTAGGTAAAAGAAATGGAATTTTATAGAAAAAAGCGAAAATGGAGCAAGGAGCTAAAATCTTAAACTGATGCCTAGACTCCAGCTTCTGATGCCTAAGCACCAAACTATAGAAAGCTCCAACGTCATAGCGTTAGGATCTAATGCCTAGGCTTCGTTCTGTTATGCACATCTTCTAGAACGGTGGCGCCTAGGCGCCAAGGACGGTTTTTGATTTTGTGTATTAAATGTGGATGAATATTGAAGAGGTGTTTGAAGTGACTCTTGGTTATTTTGAGAGATCTATTTAATAGAGTCATTGGCTAGCCAAAAAAGTGGAGGGAAAAAGTTGCGAAGAGATTTGGTGTCTAATATTGGCGTTAGTCTTTGGAGAGAGTCTTGTGTGTGGGCGTGTGAGTCTTTGTTTTTGTGTTCAGGAGTAAAATTATAAAGAGAGTTGAGGATTCATCAAGGAAACATCAAAGGTTTTGCTAGGGGAAAGACAGAGTTCAAGATAAGTATTTTTTATTTTTTTTTTAAGTTTGTTCAACTTAAGTTTTAATATAAATCATGTTTTGTTTTCTTATCCTCATGAAGTTTCAGTAGCTTTCTTTTCTTTCTTTTTGTAATGAAAATTAATCTTGTGTAGGATTAGAATTGTTTAGAACTTCTCTTATTATATACTTGTGATGATTCATTATTTCATGCTTCATTTATATATTCAATCTAGTCAATTTGTATGTTAAAATTTATTGCGAATTCATAATGACTCGGGAGGGCTATGTATTTCTCAACTAGTAAAAATCACATTGTATTATTGGGTGAAGGAAAAGTGGTCCATAGTGCAGTGCAAATAAATAGGGACATAAGTATTGATTATTATAGAATTGGAGATTCTAGAGTGACAGACTAGAGACTTTATCAATTTAGTCTTTAATTTAGAACTTAAGGCATGTTTAGTCCTATAGAGAAGACACAGTGTGTAATCTGGAAGTGAGAGGCTAGAATCTACTCAGCATAACCATATCAATTAGGAACTTAACTTTACATTAGCCAATGTACATTATGCACTCGGAAGAGGGTAAAGAATATGTATGCTCCTATTTGACACAAAACTACATTTTAACATTTAAACATTTGATTCCTACTTAAGAAGAGTTTTGCCTTAAAAGTAAGGACCAAGCTTTTGACCCCTTTAAGGATTGGAAGGTAGTTATTCAAAATCAATTTGGTAGGAGGATTGAAAAATTATGCACTAATAACAGATTGAAATTTTACTCACATTTATTTAATTGATATTATACCAATCATCATAGAATTAAGAGTCATGCTATCAATTATTACCATAGTTAATTTTGAGCTCAAGCAAATGGATGTAAGGACAACTTTTCTTCATAATGACTTGAAAAGAAATGATCTATATGATGCAATCTAAAAGTTGAAAAAAAAAATCATTAATAAGTTTGCTTGTTAAAAGGAACTATCTATCTGTTGAAATTATATTCTAGATAATGATAAAATTAGATTTGATCAATTTATAAATAAAGTTGAGTTTAATAGATGTAGGCTAGATAATTGTATTTACCATAAAAGGGCATCTAATCAAGATGTTTTAGTTTTCTTACTTCTTTTTCTTGATGACATCTTAATTGCAAAAAAAGAAGTAGCTAAAACTATTTCTCTTAAAAACCAATTATCCATGGAATTCGAGATGAAGGATATGGGTTTAACTAACAAAATATTAGGCATATGTATAACAAGAGAAAAAGTTTTCTCAAAAAATATACTTGCAAGGGATATTGGAAAAGTTTGGAAAGATGGAATGTAAGAATGTAAACCTATCAAAAGGACATTTGCACCTCTATTCAAATTTAAGGCAATTGATGCACCTTGTCCGAATGAAAAATCATATATAAGTCACATACCACATGCACATATATTGGAAGTTCATTGTATTGAATGTTGTGCACAAGACCAAACCTTTCTCATTCACTTAGTGCGATTAGTAGACAAACGGAATAATACAAAAAGAATAATTTTCAAGTTTTGAAATGGATTATGAGAGATTTAAAAGAATTGGTGGATTTGGGGTAATGCATGAAGGAGAAACTATAGTTGATTAAATGATTAAAGGTTATACAAAATATGTTTATGCAAAACGTAGTGATGCAAGAAGACCCTATCTTTGAGTACATTTTCATTATTTTTTGTGGAATTGTCAATTGGATAACTTCTTACAACATCATGCTGCATTATCAACAACTAAAGCTGAATTTACAACTACTATTGAAGTTATTAAATAAGGTTTATGGCTTCATGGTTTGCTTAACAAGTTGAGTTTCAAACAAGATAATATTGCAATATTTTGTAATAACCTAATAAAGAAACTATTTTTCATGAGCGGACTAAACACATCAACATCAAATTGCATTTTATAAAAGATGTGACCATCGATGATATTGATGTAAAGAAAATTTCAACTGAAATCAACTCATGACCAAATGTCTACTCAATGGTAAATTCAAATTTTGTTTGAATGCAATTAATTGTTGCCTTTCCTTCTACATTTTGAACCAATGTGGAGTTTGTTAGTTTATGATCTGTTTTAAAAGTAATAAATTTGTCATTAGCTTTGTCTTCTAATTTTTCCTATTCTCTGTGTTAAATTTCCCTTTTTTTTCCTATTACTTCCTCATATATATATAACATATACTTTTATGTTCACTTTATATAGGAAAGGGCGTGCGTTCTATTCATATCATTAGAACCGGGAGAGGGCAAAGGCTTGGGAGATTGAAATTAATAAGATGAGCCAAAAAAGAAGAAAACAGAATAACACAAATTCAAGTGGAAAATCCAAGCATATGTTAAAAAAATGCTTGAAGAAGATTACAAGGTAGAGCACTTTGGATTCAATGGCTAACTCTCCATATATAAAACTCTAGTATAAATATTGAAATATCATGCATCTACAAAAAATCGAAATACATCCAACCTAACAAAATATATAAAAACTCATATCCTGAGGGCCATCACCATTGCATCTCTGCAAGAATCAGTGGCTGGATCTAGTTATATCAACCCTATCCCTCTCCTGCCAGCACTAATCACCTAAGAAAAAATCCCATAATTTTAGTCGCGCCAAATTTGTCGCACTACACATTTTTCAATCCAAACCCAATAAAATTCAACTCACAAATTCTATTACATTGAAAAAAGTTTCAATTGCGATGCTTGGCATGACACAAGCTTTGCATGAGTTTTTCCTTTCTGTACAATTTGCAATGTAGGCAATCCGAACAAGCAGCACGAACAGTTTTGGTGGCAAATAAAGGTTCATTGCTCCTTGGAGCTTATTATACATCCATACTTGGCCATTTTTCCACCAAACCATGGTTTTAGTTGTATCAAGCAGGAACAGGTTCTCGGATTTTGGTCCCCTCGAGTGAAGCTACACTGTCATAGTATTCTACGAGAACTTTCCATCCGCCAGGGCACATGAAGCCATCCGGTGGGTTCTCGCGGTTCTTGGCAAGGTTTCTCATCTGGGGAATAGAGTTTGAAGTTAGATTATAGTGGTGGGATGATGGTTGTTTTATACTCTAAAATCCGCTTGATTGTGAATCATGTTTTAATCGATTTAAAATTAAATTTTGATTAGCTGACTCAAAAAATGTTCATTTGAAACTAAGCTGACGCAAATTGAGATCATACACTCACACTTGACTCAAATCAACTCAAAACTCGCTGAAAATGATTCATGGGGAGGTTTTTAATTAAAATACCTTGGTGCCAGAGATGAAGAGGAAATCCTGGGGCCTTGAATGATCGAAGAAAGCCATCTTTCCCTGTGTTTTATCATAAGCAGCTACCTGAAGAGATTCATGGAAAACTTAGCAACTTGTCTTAATATGTAGCAGTTTCATGTAAGTTTATAAATGAAGTTGGCTTTTACATACCATGAAAAATATTACCAGGACATTATAATAAATAGAATCATGCAGTGGCTAACAATATATAATTATTTTACCATAAAGAGGACAATATCACCTAAATTTCTTAAATTTCCTCAAATAAGTGACTGATCAAAAAAGCAATACCATTCAAATTAAAATGTGGATTTGAGCCTGATTTTATACAATTGTTCAATGTGTGACATGGTACGAAAATCCTAAATGAATTAGGGCAATTCTGTTCAGCTGACATAGCAAACCGATGCCGTTCAACATGTTTCTTTTTTCTCTTTGGTTTCAAAATAACATGAAATGATCATGTCCGTGACTAACCATACCTTACTGTAAGGACAGTTCGATGGAACAAGCCCATCAAATTAGGGAAAAACCTTCAAGGCTTATTTGGCCGGTTTGAGTTTTAAATGTTCTGAAAAATCATTAATTTTACTACATTCTGCAAATTAGAGATCAAAAGAGATTTCCAACTCTAAAAATACTTTCAAAATCCTTTCAAATGTAAGGATTTTATTTCCATATTCGAAATGAGTGAAAATTAAATCATGACTTTCTAAAATATATTTTCTATCAAAATGCAACCAATTGAGCCTGAGAAAATTCTGGTGTAGCTATGTCATGTTATCGCTTGCTCTCAAAGGGTTTGAATTCCCTCAAAAAAGTTCGTCAAACAGATTGGATTACATTTCCAAAAGGTCTTTCTACACAAATGCTTCAGATTTCACATACCTTGAAAGGCAGGATGTTGAGTCTCTCGAGACCAGGGGCCATGCTGAGTACCTTCTTCCCGTGGTCGGCATCATAAAGGTCTCGTTTCTCAAGGGGATGAGCCATGCCAGCAGGATCTCTACCAACAATGTAGAAATTAGCACCGGCGTTAATACGAGACTTGGCATGCCACTGCACCTCAGTTGGCCCAGCATAATGCATGGGGGAGGGGAAGATGGCCACAACTGTAGTATCAGGGTCAAGCACACCTTCCTCAAGCACCTGTAATGCCATTTTGGAGAAAATTATTTGCAATATAAAATTAAGAAAATTGCATCAGGATGTCTCCCTATCAGCTTGGCTAGGATCAATCATTAAACCAATTGATTTGCTTTGAGATAAGTACGACACAACAGTAATAAAAATTACACTAATCTAAAAACAGACTCATGAACTTTAGAACCCATCATAACAAAAATTTTGAAATTGAAATAACAAATGGCACGTTTTGCATTCTAAATACTTTGCATGCCTCTGGCATTGCCTTTTATATGAGAAATGGAGGAAGGATTGGATACTACCTTCTCATGCTGCTTCATTCTCCAACTGAGTGGTACATCATCAGCTTTAGTATAGCCTCCCAGAGGGTGAAGCAACAAAATTGGATTTTTATAGCCCATCTCCAAGAGACGCTTACGAGTATCAGTCATGAGCAATGCATGACCATTATGCACAGGATTTCGGAGCTGAAAAGCAAAGACGGCATCTGCATTGCGCTTTGTGAACTCTTCGCGAAGTTCCGCAGGTGAAAGGCGATATTTATCGAGTCCGTCGTTGTATTTAACTGGCTCTATGACCTCCAAATCTCCACCTATGAGCCAGTTGCCGGCATTGGTTATGGTTTCTTCAACATAGGGTAGCCCAGGGGCAGTTGTTCCCCATGTTCTAGCAATTCGTTCTTCCTTGTTATGCTTGAATATCTCAATGCTGAAATGTAGTAGCAATCAAACATTAAACTTTATGCTTTTGACAAAAATCATGAAAGTAAACCTCTGACGTAATCAAAGAACTTACAGTTAATAAGCATAAGAAAAGGAGGGAAATCTACAAACTTAGCACAAAATTCTTACGAATTAACATATCCAGCACCTAAAATTTCATATTTACATACATAAAACTTTAATGCTTTAAACCTATTAATAAAAAGGTGGATTTCCCTCTTAAAAAGTGGCAATAGTGCTATTTTTTATGTCATATTAAAGATTTGAGTGCTTTGTGTGTAATATGAAGCCTGGGTTTGAGATATGCAAATACATAAGAATTGTGCGTTATGTATGAAGATGCCCCAAAAAAAGAATGTTTGTTCTATATTTTTTTTTAGTTGCAAAGTGCTGAATCTAGTTTCTTAAATATGCAACTATGAAAGTTAAGAAGAATTCAAAATTAAATTATAAGGCAGAGGAACAAATAACCAATTAAGGATTACAAATAAGAAAAAAATAAAGACGAACAATACGCAGAGCTAAAAGGAAAGAATTTAAACGATGTTCTTTACGCTCACCTTAGTTGGCAAATATTCAACATTGAGGAAAATGCGTTTTGGGTTCAATGCTATATTGGATTTATAAAAGATATTGGTGTAGTAGTGTTATGTGTCCGCCTAGTTTAAGGGCAAGTTCGTCTTTTGTATGCTTACGGGTAATTTAGTCTTTTATTATAATTATTTTTTGGTCTAAATATGCTTATTATATTTAGGATTAGACTTATTATTATTAGGATTAGGTTTTGCGAGAGATTTCCTACCTCTCAAATTGTAAGAATTGAGAGAGATTGCATGCCTCTCGAATTGTAGGTGTTTATCTTTTATATTTGTATGAGTTGTTCGGATTACTGAAGAAAATATTCGTGTTTGCTATAATTTTATGTGGAAAGACGTGTCGATTACTGCCTTGTATCATAACAAATTTGTATCAGAGCCTTGGATTCGTGATTGAAGCGAGATTCGTCGTGGGCGGCAGCAAATCTGACATGTGTTGCTAGAGTTTTTTCAATAGGTAGTTCGGCATGCTTTGTCAATAGATTCGGCAGTTCCAACAACAGTCCCTGAGGAAGAGACGTTGCTTGTGGAGCACATCTGGTGGACTTTGTTTCGACGACATTTCGTGCGACAGGCCGGCGGCAGTTTCGGAGAGGTCAGGAGGCCGGAAGAAAATTCCCTTGGTTCTTACCTTACCTTTCCTGTCTGTGAAACAGCAGAAGGCTTAAATTGGAAAGCAAAACCAAGAACAGCATAAGGCTTAATAGGAAAGCAAAAATAAAGCTTTAATTAAGGATTTCCAAAAGTATCCGTATGTAGAAGGAAAAAGCTTTTAGAAGAAATTTTTTTAAGGGAACAGTAATTTAGGAAAAACTATTTCGGACATTTGGATGGCTTAGACAAACAAAAGCAAGCAGGACCAAAGTTGAAAGAGATTGAAGAGACACATGTGACCGAGTTGACAGTGATTTTGGTGATCGATAAGCCATGAGATAAGCCATTTGGGGTTGTGATATTATCTAAAAGATTGATTGGAAATCATGCCGCCTACTGATTCAGATGCGACCAAAGGATGTGTGCAATACTGTATTTTGAACTTCTGTTGGTCACTATGAATTCCTGATTAAATGGAAAAGATGATTAAATAATGACGTCAGCTGGGAGCCTCTGACTTGATCAAACAACAGTCTAATTTATTGTCTTTTGGGAGGGGAGTATTGTTAGATGTATGCCTAGCCTAAAGGCAAGTTCATTTTTTATACACCTAAGGGCATTTTAGACTTTTATTATTCTTATTATTATTGGGTATAAATAGGTTTGTTATGTTTAGGGTTATGTGTAAGCATGAGTTTGAGTTGTGAGTCTTAGGTTTAGGTCTTGGGAGATATTTCCTACCTCTCGAATTGTAGGAATTGGGAGAGATCACCTACCCCTCGACTCTCTAGGTGCTTATCTTTTGTATTTGTGTGAGTTGTTTATATTATTGAAGAAAATATCCATGTTTGCCATAATTTTCTATGAAAAGACGTGCTGATTTCTGCCTGAAATCATAACAGGTAGTACAAGTGGATGGCGCTCACACATGGCATAAGCTTTGGGTTGGAGATGAGTTTGACCACTTTTGCTCTTCTTTGTTTCAAACTCCCTAACAAATTGTATCAGAGCTAATGATTTGGTTAAATATTTGATGTGGTTTGAAGCTCCAATGGGTCTCAATAGCTACTACCATAGTTGACAATGATTCAAAAGAAAGTGGCTTTCACAAAGGAAGTGATGTCCAACGTGAAAGGTTCTAATATAAAGAAAAGTTCGTCAAAGCATGTAGAAATACCAAATAGCCAACTTTTCACCCATTGGCTTTAGTTTTTAGGTTTAAAAAGGTGGGTTGAACGCTCCTGCATTAGCGGTAACTCAATCCCTCTTTGATGCATAGCCCCAAACATCAATACTATCTATATATATATCATCATTAGAAAAAAAAAATTATGTAAACTCACCATCTCATCATAATCTTATCAGAAAAATATCACGTGATTAACAATGTTGAAAACGTGTTAGAATTTGTAGGCATGAAATGGTATGTTTTAAGAAGAAAATGTGTCGTGAAAACATTTGACAAGTTTTTTGGGACTTCTTCGTATGATACCAAACTTTTAGGTTGTATGTTTGCATCATATGCTTAGATAGCAAGCAGTAGTATCTACATCAAGGCCTTAAATGGCTGTGATGGATGCAACTGACAATTTAGTCCATAACAACAATCTTTAAAATTGATCAATAGAAATTCTTCAAATCCTTTTGATGTATTTATCCTGCACATTATCATCACTACCACCAACATCACCATCAACTCCGTCATACCATTAAAATCATCATAGACGAGCAAGAACATCTAAGTAATCTAATAATGGTGTGGTGCTAAGACTGGAGATTGTAGTATTACAAATTCAAGGGTCAACTAAGTACCACCACAAAATTATTTATTTTTTATTATCATTAATAATAAAAGTATTGAGATAAGACCGAAGTTTCTAGAATTATAAAGTCGGAAGACAGTTAAGTACCACTCCATCATGATTTAATTTTCCTTATCATTATCACCACAACGCCACTGCACTCATCAACCTCCGATTTTATAAAGTAATAGTTGTAAGACTGAAGGTTCTAACATTATAAAGCCGATTGAATATGATGGTGCGACTATTTTTTATGCTTTTTATTTATCTTTCTTTTACTTGCAGGACTATAGTAAATTTAATAAAATAATATAATATTCTAAAGTGCTATAAGTGTTATAAAATATATTGTCTTAGGTAATGCTAATATCCTAAAGTTTGTGAGAGTGCTTTAGGTATACTAAAGATACAAAAAGCTCATGGACTACCTGTGTTACAGATTGAGACATTGAGCAGTGAAGTATTAAATCTATTAGCTTCAGTGAAACATCACATTTTGATGAAACAAAGGAGAATTAGATTCTAAGCTATAGGAAAGGTTCCAAAAAAATAAAAAACACAAATTTGTATTAAGAATTCTGGAGATGATTGGGAGTATCAATTTTATGATGCTCAATTTGTCCCAGTGCCAAATCATACTATTAAAGCATTTAAGGTGAGGACGGAATTATTTAGGGGTATGAAAATTCAAAAGCAGGAGCACAATAACGTTTAAACTACTTAATAGCATTCATCATAATGCAATATTTGTACAAGATAGCATCCCACAAGTATCAACTCTAATGTCTTCTAAACCTAATAAGATTCAGCATGCCATAGAGAAAGTCACAAAAGAGATCTACCATTACCATAATATTGACTAAAAAGGGAGGTTTATTAGGTAATGACTCAATATCATGCTTCATACACTAAGTGCAGTAAACGTCAAGCTACCTTATGAGAAAGATTGAAAACAAGTTAGGATATTTATTAGGTATTGATTCAATATCCGTGCATAAATGACAAGATGAGATAGTTATTTTGTTTCTCACATAAGCTAGCAAATGGATTTGGTGATTTTACTAAGTTCGGTAATTTGCAATGTTTTTATTGGTGGCTATATGAAGTTGATGCATGGAAGCTTAGTTGGCGTGAATGCAAATGGCAATATGAAGGTTATTATGGAGTTGTGAAGGAATTCAGATTAAAAAATAAAAATAAAAAAAATGTAAATAGACATAAAGAGAAAGAATTCGTATAAGTTGTTTATATCAAAGAACCAGTGATAGCTTCTCTAAGTACTTCTTAAGCAGGCAGTTTTCTAATATTTCTTTAATCCTTATTTTTTATTCCCTCTTAAATTATTTTTCTTTTACTGATCATGTGAGACAAGGTAACATTTGACAAGCTTAGATAGATCAACTAAAAATATAATATGGCAGCCAAAATAACAAACTTTTAATCACAGTATCAACGCATCCTGCACGATTGATCTTGAATAAAAGCATTAACTTCCAAAATAAAATTGAAAAGCGACCAATCACATTCAAAACAAGATAGTAAAATGGTTAAAACACACGAAAATGGTTTTATTGAATGATGAAGCTAAGCTGTGTAAAGAAAATGATCCGTCCATTTAAATTACTACTGTTTGTCATAATCATATTGCTCAAACGTGGTGATCAGTTAGGTTTCAACAGTACTGACGTACTCATGCATCATCTACATGATTCTAGCATTAACCAAGGGTCACTTCGTATATCTTTTAGTAGTTATTCGACTTCATCAAGAAAACAAATGAGTTACAATGACTTGGCTACTTTTGTACAAAAACGGAAAGTGTTTACCTTAAATCTTTTTTTCTTTTTGAAAATAAGAAAGGGGAATGTCTTCCTCCATCATGTTGATCCAAAATAATAAAATGACATTAAATATAACCAAAAAACTAAGAAAAAAGTGAAATATTACTGAACGTGATTGCTTATCATGGTATTAGATAATTTTAATGGTAAAATAAAAGGAATAAAGAAACATGATAAATCAAATGATAATTCAGATGTTAATCAGTAATAAAAGTTTCAGGGAAACTGAAAAACAGATCATAAGGATATACAAACAGAGGAACTAAAATCCGATTAACATTACTTTGATAATCGATTGACACTACTATCTGCACCTTGAACTAGAAAGAGGAGCCATGTTTTCCCATGCTAATAAGGATTCCAATCTTAATTTCTTATCCCATAAGAAAAAAAAAAAGATAAATCATGTAAAGTATTGAATCAAAGTCACCCCAACAAACACCGGTCATCAATTAGAAATTTGCCGTATAAATCAACACATAAATAATCCAAAGAAAACGTCGGAATTAGTTCAAATTCACTATATAACGTTCAACCCCACCTCAAACAACACCCCTGAATTCAATGTAAAAGCAAACGACACAACTTATCACCAAAAACAATAAAACCAACAACCCATCATCTCAAATAAATAAACTAATGCCAGTTTAATCACACCAAAAGAAAAAAGAGAAACTAAGAATCCAGTCCACTGTATGGAAATTTTCCACTTACTCTTTAAGAACGGCAATGGGATTGTTATTAACATCAGCAAGCACAACTCTATCCCGCCCTTCAACAACCCGCTTCTGCTCATCGTCAAGCGCGAGCACGATCGGCACCGACATATTGACCACAGAGCCGTCCGGCATCCGCAGGCAATTAAAATGAAGAGTTTGGAGGAACTCGGCTTCTCTCATGAAGCCCCGGAGCGGGCTCGCCCACCCCTCACTCAACACATGCACCCACTGCAAATCGATCCTCGATAGCTTAATCCGCGGCAAACCTCCCGCCATCGCAGCCTCCTTCCGAAGAGCCTCCCGCTCCGGCCCTACCGTCGCCACCAGCTCCACCAGCTTCCCGCCATCCGGCTTAATCAGGCCGCACCGAACCCCAGCCGGGCAGCGTGAGACCCGCCGGAAGCGGGCGGCGGCGCCGGCGAAATCGGTTCGCCGGGTTCCGGGAAGTCGCAGATGGCTGCGTGGAGATTTCGCGATGAAAGTTTCCATAGAAGCCATCGCCGAGATGGCTTCCGGCGATCGAAGAACGGACCAAAAAGGGGAAGGGGATTAATCCAATTGGAGAATTAATTAGTGGATTATGATTTGAGAGAGGGGGCAGTGATGTGGCAATTTATAAGAATGAGACATGTGCCTAAAAAGGGATGCGCGAACCTGGTTGGTATTGCGGTCAGATTAGTGGGAGGAGGAGAAGGGGGCATGAATCTGGACGGTTTCCGGTAGGGTGTATGTGGATCAGAAAGGCGGCTACGTGTGGTAAGTAATTTGGTTTTTGTTTTGGATTTTAGTTTGCTGGTTTGATAGGTGGCAAAGTTGGACTCTTCAGCTCCAGGAGGTCAAAAAACATAAAAGGATAGATTTCAGGAAGCTTCTTTAGGGGAGGAGATCTTTCTAAATGAAAAAAGAATGATGGCTATTTTTTTCAGTGATTGAAGTTGGGATTTAGACTTCTGGTTTAAATTTTTTTTCTATTTTTTTTTATCTTCTCTTTGTTTGTTATCATTGGAGGTGTTCGAATTCACACATTTATATTTCATTTTGTGCGGTAAATTTATGATGGTAGAGTGATATATTGACATATTCGTATTCTATATAAATCCAACACACAGATAAAATAAAATCGGCTTAATAGACAAAAAGATTTAATTTTACATGAAAAACAGGCACTCAGCTACTGTGAAGAAAAGTAGATGGTAGGGGTAGTGTGCTAGAAAATCTGTTGTTGATGTCTTCGATAGTGGTGGCCAGACAATAGTGACCAGGAAGCAGCGATGGTAGTATGGTGGTGAAAATGGCTCGATGACGGTAGTCGGGCAACGATGGTCTGACGGTGCTAGCGGCTCAATGGCTATTTGTTGGGTAGTTGCGGTTTGGCGGTGGTGGAAGCCAGACTGCGATGGTCCAGTAGTGGCAACGACTCAATAACGACGGTCGGGTAGAAACTGTCCGACGGGTGGCAAACAATTTATGGTGACCAAGCAGTGGTGGTCTGATGGTTTCAGTGGGTTAATTGTGATGGTGGTGGCTACCTGACGATGACGATGGTGGCCCGAAAGCGGTAGTCCAACGGTGGAAGTAACTTGATGATGGCGGTCAAGCTGTGATAATTGGGAAGAGGCGGTCTAATGGTGGCGAGTATCGGTATGTGGTGGCTGGGAAGCAGCAAAAATAGTGTGACGATGGCTACTGCTTGACGGCAGTGGCTGTGTAGTGGTGGTCCTGTTGACGACGACTAGTCGATAACGTTCCTGTGGCAGTGGAGCTCAGAGCCCCTCAAGTGCATGGAGCTCTTTAGCTATATCGTCCATGTCTCGGTCCCAAGTCCACTTCATAAAGGGAGTAGGGTTCTATTTATGGATTTTGTGAGTGAAATTTTATACAAATATCGCATGAATTTGCACAACTCCATTGAAGGGCCTAGAGTGATCCCTTTAATAAAATGGTATTCTATGAGCATTTGAGTACCTTAATTATGTAAGAACTTAGTGATCTTATGCTCGTTGGATTCGGCTCAACGAGACAATTGATTCGACCATAAGCTTATCAGGTTTGGAATCTATTTGAACACACAAGTGCCCATCCAAAGCCTCTAATCATGCTTAAATGGCATGATCTGGACTTGATCAGTCTCGGATCGAATCAATATTTGCTTCAATGTGCTCGCCTTGTCGAGACGGTCAATTTGTCTATAGCTTGCTAAAATCAGTGCTTGGATGATCATGAATTTTTATTTGGAGATGTTTCTTGCTCAAAATGCTTCAAGATTTATGCATGAACAAAATATTTTTTGAGGATGTATCAATTGCACCCCTATTTTCATAAATTGTTGTCAAAGATGTTCAAAACACATCTCAATTTTTTAAAGAAGTATATGCCGCAAAATAGTGACTTTGAAGAAAATGTGAGATGAGTTGCTCTTTTAGTTATAACATTGTCTTCTTACTGGGATCCTTACCACAAAAAGGACTTGTCAATAGCCATTTGAAATTATCAAATTTGTGTCAGAGATACTAAAGCTGGCTCTACAAATTAAAATGTGTCAAAAGTGGGTTGGACAAACAATCACCACCCATGATAGAGATCGTGGTCGCAGCCAAATGGCGGTACTTCTCTAATGATAGTGTGACAGTGGCCAGACAACAACGATAGTGCTCCGGCGATTGTGGTGGCTTGACGACGATAGCAAAGTTGGGGGCTAGGACGTGGTGGTGGCCAAATAGTGGTGGCCTGGTAGCGGTTGCTACCGGCAATGAAATAGTTGTGGTCTGACGATGGTGAAGGTGGTGACCGAGAAGAGTTGCTTCTGTGGCGGCGAGCAGATGATGGCGATGGTGGTGTTGGCCAGGCAACGATGATTAGAAAATAACGATATCGTGACGACATCCACCAGATGATAGCCGAATGATGGAGGCATTGGTCAGACGACTATCCATTGGTGGAGGCGACAACTTGACAGGGGTGGTCGAACGGTAGTGGTCCGAGGACGGTGGAGTCCAAATAGCAATCCAATGATGAAGGTGTCAAGATGTGGCGGTTAAGAGGTAATGGCTAGACGATGCTGGTTGGATAGCAGCGGTCCCGCGGTAGCGTATGTGCACATGGAGGCACATGCACAGATGCGTCTTTAAACGCGCATGTGCATGAGCATCCATTGATGAACATGTGTGCACATAGTGTGGTGCATGTGATGTCGTGCATACAAAAGCAAGGTGTTGTGAGTGAGAACATGAGATGGCATGCACAAATGTGTGGTGCCTACACGTAAACATGCGGTGCCATATGCACGAATGTGCAGTGTCGTGCGCACAAACTTGTGATGCACTGGTGCACCAATTTCATGCAGGAGTATTAATTTAAAGTATGTGCATCAACTGATGGATTTTATAAACTTTGTATATGATACTTTTCAAGGAAAATCATATAGTGATTAAAAAATTTTGAAATTCTCCAAAAATTGAGATTTTTTTTCTCTTTTGTATTATTTTTAAAAGGAAAACAATATTTATGTAAAGAAATTGATTTTTCAAATAATTCCTTTTCTTTTTCTACCCCTTACTCAAGCTTATAAAATAATCCCTTGGGTGCAATAGAGGGCACACCTCTCATTTGTTAAGAAAATTACTTCAAAAAAGTTATCTTCTAATTTCACCGTGAAATAGGATCACGTGATTGAATAAAATTGGAACAAAAAATTTAAGAAAGCACAATTAAAGTGACCAAAAAACACACAAAAATTTTACGTAGAAAAACCTGAAAACGAGAAAAAATCACGGAGTCACATCACCACAAATTTCACTTTGTAATTCAGAAAATTTTACAAAGGACTCACACAAGTTTCTTCTCTACACTCAAATGAAGAAACTTACAAAACTTGCACCAACAATCTTCCCTCTCCAATCCAATGTAAAAATCACGCCGAATAACCAATTTTATCTCTTCGACACTCCTCACCTTCACTGGGATGCTCTTTGAAGAATTCAGAAGAAAGAAAATAGCAAGTTACCATTTACCGCACTCAAAATTGGCTTAAAAACTGAAATCTTGTGTACTAACTGTACCGGGCGCTTAGTGGCCCAAACTTAGGGCCTAAGCGTCAAGCGCTCTATATGGGCGCCTAGAAATGGGCACCTATGCACCACTAGACTGATGCTTATGCCTTGGTCTATCGAGAAAAAGAGTAGGCCCGCTCTATAGCGAGCCCATATGCGTCCAAAACTGGTGCCTAAGCATCAGCTCTACTGTAGTTGTGTCCTTATGGGGCGCTTTAGCGCCCATGGCTTGCCTAAGTGTCAACCTTAAATGCTGCTTAGAATGCTTTCACTCCACACACCGTAATAATCTCCCACTTGGATACAAAACATCAAGCACTAATCCTCTGTATCTGCACCTTCATCTGAATCGTCTTCATAGATACGTATCGTGGTGTGACTCACCCCCGGTCTCAACCTTCATGAAACCCGCTTAAAGCCCGACACAGCTTCAGTTTCTTAACACTCACCACCTTCATCAACATATCTGCAAATTTTTTAACTATATGTATCTTTTCCAGAAATAACTATCCATCCTCTTGAAGAGATCGAATGAAAAAATGCCCGAGCTAAATGTGTTTCATCCTGGCCTGAAAAACAGCGTTCTCAGCAAGATGAATCATACTCATACTATCATTGTTGAGTTTTCCAATCCCCTACTCCTTGCCCAATTCTGCCATGAAATTTTGTTGTCAAGTTATTTCCTTGCTAACATCAGTAATAGCAACATATTCGCCCTCTGTAGTTGAAAGTGCAACGATTTTCTACAACCTGAAAACCCAAGTCACTATTGTGTTCTCCAATGTATAGATGTACCCCATTTTACTTCTTTTACTGTCCACATCTCCTATCATATCTAAATCTATGATAGGAGATGTGGAACGAAAGATAGGAGAGAGTCTAAGTTTACTATTTAGTGTGAAAAGAATATTGTTATCAACATGAGTGGTTTCAATGTTTTGGTTATTTTTAATAACTACTTGATCAGAACCATTATAGATAGTTGGCTGCTGTAAATTGGCCAAATAAGTTGTGAGATGAGCTGTGGCTCGGGTATCTAAATCCTAATCTAGTTGCTAGTTATTAAGTTAAATGGTAAGAGCAGTAACATGAAGTATTGAGATGGCTTTATATTAGAGATTTATTATGCGCCAACATTGAGTGGTTGAATGCCCATTCTGTTACAAATTTGACACATTACTTGAGAATTTGGTTTCAACATGTTATTGTTGTTCTAATATTTGGCATTTGAAAAGTTCTTGGAGAAGATTCTTTGATTTTGATGCCTCCTTTGCTTTTATATGTCAGTAGGGCTGAATGTTTGGTTGCTTTTATTTATTCATTGGCAATGTTACATTCCTCACTATGTAATAATGAGTAGAAATCATCCAAGCTAATCGGGTTCAAGTTGGTTCTAATGGAAGTCTTGAAACTTGGATAGCTTGATGGCAATCCACTTAAGGTATAAAAAGTAATATTTTTGGTATCAATCCTTGAACCTACAACTGTATTGCTGTCCACCAAATTCTTGATAACAATGAGAAGTTGAGTCAATGTGTGTACTTTCATGGTGATGTTTTCAAGTTAATTCTCAAGCTAAATGACTTTTAATTTATTTTTGGATTGAAATTTCCTTTCTAATGTATGTCAAATTTGAGAGGTACTACTTATATGGGGAATATTTGAGAGAATAGAGGGTGAAATAGTGGATAAAATTATTGTCATAAGAT